ACAGGGCAAGGTTAAATGGAAGAGTCCAGCACTGCACAGCTTACACGCATCAGTTCTGAGATCCTTTTGGTGGATATAATTAGCCTCCTGCCTACAAAAGCCTTCTTCTATGCGGGGGTACCTTAGGCATCTCAGAAGCAGGCAGATTTGACAAAACCCTTACGCTTGAAACTCCTCCACCTAAGCAAACGGCAAAGATAAAGCACCGTGCCGGGAAAAGCAGAGTTCACTTCGGGGCACAGGATCTGGCTTGTAGTTCAAGGTTATCCAACGCTGTCACAGCTTACAGTCCCTGAGGACAAGCAGAGAGCTGGGTGGCTTTTGTTGTTGTTTTTCTAATGTGCACAGCTCCCTCCTGCAGAGGCACGTCTCCCGTCAGGCTGCGGAGGGGTGGCCGCAGACGGCTGCACAAGATGCTTTTTCTTTCAAGCGCCGATGCCTCAACACTAAGACTTCAAGCCCAAACTAAAAGCAATATCTAGGAGCTATTTGGAGGCAATAACAACATTACCTCCTAGCCAGAGGTAGGCTGCAGGCAACAACTGTGATAAGACAGTTACAGCCTCACCATATATCTAATTAAATCAGGCACATACGCAATAACTCCAAGAGGAGAATCAAAACCGTAAGTGTAGACAGACCTTTTTTTATTTATTCAATAAATACTGAATTGCTTTAACTAGATATTTATGCCCTGAGCCACTGGACCCTTGCCTCTAGCCCAGTACCTCCAAGTCCTCTTCATCGAGCCCCTTCCGTTTTGGTGACCGAAGAAGCAGATGGTGGGGGGTCTCCAGCCCACCCTCCCGCTCGGAGCGGGACTGCTGCCAGCATGGGCTCAGGGGAGCCACGGCACTGCCTGGCCACGTTCCGAAAACCTCCGGGGATGGAGATGCCACCACCTCTTGGTGCTCTCACGCTGCACGACCCTTCTAGAGAAGGAAATACTCTGCAAGAAGTTTTCTGTCCCAAGCACACAAAAGCCAAAGCGTCGCTGTATTATGCCTTTAATTAAACAAGAAAAGGAGACCCAGACAAAGAACAGTAAATCAGTTCTGGAATTGTTATAGAAGCTGATATTCTTGTAGAGCTGATAAAATCCTGAGAGAGAAGAGCAAGCTTTAATAAACTGGAGTACTTTTTTTCTTTCAACTTACATAAAAGTTATTTAAAAAAAAATTCTCACCGGTCACATGCTGTTTTCATTAATTTCGCCCAATTGGATTTTGGCCACAAGACCGCATTTTAAAACCTGACCTTCCACTGAAGTTGAGCTGTTCTTGACTTACTTTGGAAAAAAGCCCAACCTATTAAGGATAACATTAAGTCTCAATTCCTCTGCCTTAACTTATTTTTCTCCAGTTCTGATGGTGTTTATTTTGATTTATGATACTGTCCAAAAATACCTAAGCAAGGCTCCAGAGGCCTTTCCAGCAAACTAAAGCAGTAATCACACACACAGAGAAGAAAATGACTGTGTAAGGGTATCAGTGATAACCTACAATACTTTTTACTTGGAAATACTTGATTCGTCCTGGGGCTGTAGACCCCCAGAACTACATCAGGAGTATATAACAGTATATAACCCCAACGCTGGGGCTATTTTATTCACACCCAAGAGGCAGAAGTGATCTGGAAGCAGGTGCCGGAGGTGCGGGCTGCTCGTATCTACTGCTTTAATGAAACTCTGCTCGTGTGCGGAAGGAGAGACGCACGCAGCGCTTGGCAGACCGCGGCAGCACTAAATCAGTAAAAGCTTTATGGTCCATGACCAACACTTCGTGCTCCACCCAGAAACCGAATAGGAGAGCAGCGTGATTCCCGGCTCCCGCCCTGCCGCTCCGCTCGCAGCCGCTTACACCTATTAATCAAGTCAGCAGCAGGTTGAGTTCCAGACCGGATTTAAAGAATAACCTTGCACTCGATGTTGTGCCACTTCGGATGTGACAAAGCCCCTGGGCCTGCGGTCCCTTGGCCAAGGGACCGTGGGATCCCTCCCACCTCCCCAAAATACCTCCTCCCCAGTTTTCCCATGCCATTCAAAGAGTTATCCCAGCGGGCAGCACCTCCAGACAATGAACTTAGTTCTAACATAGAACTGAACTTAAAATGGCTTTTATATTATATTTTAGATGCAGTTTGTATGAGAGTTATCTGAAAATTAAAATAATAAAGAAAAATAAATACAGTTGACATGCATTTGTCTCCGTCCCAGGCTTGCAATAAGGCTGCTGTAAGAATAGCCGGGTCTTCCCACTCGTCTGATAACCGGTTCAGCCCGGAAAAAAAAAAGAAACATTTTGCTAGAACACATTATCCTCACCAGAAATCACGATTTACTGAAACATGTCAGGATACACCTATGGAAAACATGTCTCTACACAGCTTCCACAAGGTTTGATAATGAAATCTGGGCATATTTTTTTTTTTTAAAGGAAGCATGCCTGCTTTGTAATCTTGTCGCTTACTCATTCATGAAAGTACCAACAACGTGACTGCTGTAGGGAGCCCGACCGCATTTCCAATACAAATAAATCGCTCTGCTCACCCCAACCACTGATAACCCCGCTGCAGAGCAAAACTGAAGGTAAAAGGGGTTTGCCTGGAAGCAATTTTTCTTAGAAGAAGGAATAAACTGGGCCAGATCATTAAAGCTATGTAAGGGGCAAACAGATAACTGAAATTTTTCCTCCTTATACGTCGAGCTCTTAACATTTTTTTTTTTTTTTTGTCCTTCAAGAAACAAACCGTGACGCTTTCTTCCTATTTTTCGGCACACGAAAGCTTAATGATTTTTGCAGGGCAATCACTACCTGCCTGACTACAACCGCTGTCAACTCCATCCAGCACACGCGTCGGGATGGCTCTAATTACAAACTAATTCCGTAATTACCGTAACGATCTCCAAGCGGGTTTGATCCTGCAGCCTTGGACTCGGCCGAGAGCTCTCCCCAGCCCCCCCGCAACACTTTGCTGTGGCGGGGATTCTGGCTGAGCGGGGAGTGCCCCTCATGCCGGCTTTCCTCGCCATTCCTGCGCCTGGG